GAAGTGTCCCAGTCGGTTGTAATTGGTCCCAGTCGGTTGGGATTGGTCCGACATGCGGGCGGACCCCCCCCACGTGCTGGTGCTCATGCGCATACCATGGCGAGCGCAGCGCATCCCTGCCCCGCCGTGCCCCACCCCGCCAAAGCGTTACAGTTACCCGCCCCCCCTTTTTCCCCCCCCCCCGGAAGGGGAAGGAGTAGGATAAGGAGGAGGAGGAGGAGCAGGAGCAGGAGGAGGAGGATAAGCAGGGCGAAGAGGGCGAGGAGGAGGAGGCCGAGGAGGAGGAGGACCAGTGTAAGCCCAAGAGTCATCAACGATGTTGGAATAAGCCCTCCCTCCAAGTTTCCTCTTCATATGCCCCTGCAACGGTTCATTTTCACCACTGAGGGAACTGCCTCGTTGGAAGACAACCGTTTGAAGACCTTGAAGCATGCGAAAGCAGTGTTCTCGGGATTCCAACGCAAAGGATCAGCCTGCCTGTTGCGTCTTGACGATCTTGAATATTGCCAGAACGCCATTCCTGGAGCTTCTACACCGCGGATCAACGTAATTGTTGCACCCTCATACATCAGAATCCTTCCCAAACGCCATTTCCGGTACGCTGATCATGGGAATCCGTGAAACCTTAGAAACTTTTATAACGAATGTGCGCGGCGCTAATGCGAGAGCCACATTTTGAAAAGGAACCGCCCTCAGTACGCGAAACGCTTGCAATTTTTTAGAGCAGATGTACGCGGCGCTAAGGCGAGAGCCACATTTTGAAAACGGGTCGCCCTCAATTCGTGAAACTTTTGAATTTGTTCAGAAGGATGTAAACGGCGCTCAGGCGAGAGCCACATCTTGAAAACGACTCGCCCTCCATCCGTGAAGCGGATGCCAATTTTTATGCTTCAGGGTCATAAGTGGCGAGGGAGTCTCAGGCGAATCACCCTGCCCGCCCTAAAAATCGGCCCCAGGGTGCCACAGGGAGAAGTTGTTTATAAGAAAAAGGACTGGAGGAGGAGGGTGAGGGTAACGTCCGGTACCAGAACTCATCAAGAATGAATCTCCTCGCGGCATGGCGGCGGACTACCTCCACAAGGCCTCTGGCGCTGTGTCGTGGAAGCGGCCGCGGGGCGCTGTGGAAGGCGAGGCATCTGGAGGCCAGTTTGCCGTCCTGCTGCAGATGTACCTGGCGTGGGTGGTGCTGGTGTTTGGGCTGGTGGGCGGGTGCATGTACATCCGGAGAGCAGCATACGTCACCCAGAACAAAAGTACCACTACCACCAGCCAGAGGGGTAGGTTCGTTCCTCCCCCGCGAGCTGGTGGCACCTCCTTTCGGGCATGCCTCCAGAGAGTTCCCGGAAGGTGCCACCAGCTCGAGGGGAGGGAGCGGCCACCCCCCTAGCTGGTGGTAGTGGTACTTTTGTCTCTCCGGAATACGGTATGAGCATGAACGCTCGGAGCTCCAGCGTGGGATTGCCCGCCCCGACGTCTCGATAGAGAGCGTCGCCGCCCGCGCCCGAGGGGCGGCAGCGGCAGCTTTGGGGATGGAAATTTCGGATGGTGGGCATGTTTTTGTTGGCACAGTGGAAACCCATGCCAATCAACACCCTGCTTGCCTCCAGGGTGCCCTGGGTTTCTTGTGTGCCCGATGGTTTGGCAACGGAAGTCGTGACGTCCCCACACAAGATCAGTGGACGTCCTGTGGACCCGGGGTTGGGTCTCTTGTGGAAGGTTCCCTTGTGGCCGGGCTCCCACTGCAACGACGACTGTGCAAAGAGCAGCTGGAGCTCCGCGCGGATCTCTCGCACCGGCGCTGGGCCCCTGGCGGCGCCTCCGGCGCCGCTCCCGGCGCTCCGCGCGCCAGGGAGGTCGATCCGAGAAGCCTGCGTGGACCTCTTAAATTTCATGCTGGGTGATCGTTTTTCTACTTATTGTTTTGCCGATCGGCGCGGGCCCTCGCCCCCCCCCTCTTCCCCCCCATGGAGCAGATCTTGGCTGTTCTGTTTTTGTCGCCTGTTTCAGGCAGGTGGGGTCTCCCCATGGAACGCGCTGGTGCAAACAGTCGCGCTAAGCAGAGGTCCAGAGCCTGACACCCCCCTCCCCCCCCCCTCCGCCCAATGTCCCAACGCTGACTGAGAAAACGCTCGCTAGTGACGTCTTCTGCTCTTCCGCACGTGGCCACGTACCACCCCGAGCGCTCGTACGCCTTCGGCTGGAAGCAGCCGAAGAAGAAGAAGGAGAAGTTCGGGGGCGGGGGCCAGGACAAAGGCCGGGCGAAGCTGCGCCAGGGGAAGAAGGGCTGAGCCTCTCCGCGCCAGGCCGCGGCACGGTCCCGCGGGCCGCGTGGTACCCGGCCAGCGGCAGCGAGCGCTGCTTGCAAGCATGGCCGGTCTGGGTGGGCCAGCATTTGCACCTTTTCGTCTCTGTGTTCGAAGAAGAATAACAGCATATTCTGGGTTTCTTAATAAGCGTGGGGGATATCCCCCCGACGGGGGTCAACCTCGCCTTGTCGTCG